CATTAGGTCCCCATCATCCTAAGTAGTAATTCAAACCGCTTATCATCAACCCACAACCTTGTATCATATCTTTTCTCAAATTCCCAAAAAGATTCTCTTCACAAGAGTCTGTCTTGGGATTGTTGATTGTAGTCTGGTCCTGTTCTCAGTTGTCAATTAATTAACCCGCAAATTTATATTAATACAAGCCCAATTTACAACATACTAACGTAATTTTGTCCTTGGACCGTTGGTAATATATTATATATATGCACTCCCATTTAATTTGTCCCATGCGATTTGAATTTTGGAGACGCCTTTCGCTTGTTAGGGATCGACAAGCTACAACTTCATGAATGTGGCGCGCGCGCATCTACCCAGCAACTTTTAAATACTGATGTTTTAAGGATATCCAGGAGGATTTAGCTAGCAAGCTCAAGAACTTTGATGAACATAAAATTAATTTAATGCTTGTTCACTTCAATTATCGATCACTCAGAACGAATTATATATAGCCCGGCTGCTGCGTAGAGTTCAGCTTGTGGTTTTGGATTGATCATTCTAATAAGTGTTTTTACGTTTCTTCAGGCGATTCTGAAGATTATTTTGAAACATGGCAGAAAAAGCTTTAGGCCCCTTTTATTTTTCGATAAATTATTTATTCGGGTAAATGTTTATCAGGTAAGTGTATTTATCCATGTAAGTGCATTTACCTATGTTTTTTTTTTTTTTTGAATTTTTGAAGTGGCAATGACCATTTTAGCCATAAAATTTCATTATTAAAAGGGGCATTTTTATCCCATTCAAGTATTGGCATCTTTCTCCCTAGATTGAGAAGTTATTTAACCATCTAGGAGATGGGTATCGCTTACCCAAGTAAGTGGTAACCAGAAAAATATAAAGTTTTTTAATTCCCACATAAATCTAAAAAAAGAGCATGAGTTTCTTGGTCAATGGGAATCAAAATCCCATTGACCAACTTTCTCCCTCTCAAAATCTAAAAAAAGAAAGCCCCCTTAAAAGTTTTAAGACAAGAACAAATGAACCCTTGAAGGCAGAAAACATTTTCAAGGCTTTGCTCTATGTGGTGGGTAGTGAGTTAAAACACACCTGACTATACATTAAAAAGCAAAGGGAGATTATGGTGAAAAGTGAAATTGATGAGCACTACAAAGCACAGTTGCCTTTTGCTTTTATTTATTATACGACAGAGAATCTCATTCCCATAAATCGCTATACTTTTCGGGTGTTACAAATTAAGAGCCTTAGAATGAAATGATCATTTATAAAGATGTGCCATAAATCTATCAGATACAACATAAGATGAATTTTGTCCTTTTCTCGCATAGTATATACCTTGTATGTTTTTTTCTGTGCTTTTATTTCAATAAATAATACCTTACCTTTCTATAAAAAATTCAGAGGAGTTAGGCCCGGTCATTTATAAACATTCAAAATCAGTAACCATTTAGAAATAGGGAAATTTATACACATTAGTAACCATTATGTTTCAAATAAATGCAAAGCAATATAATTTTGGAATAATCACTATGGTGAGGTAGTTCAAATCATAAATAAAGAAGATCACCGTCCTCTTCTCCAAAACAGTGTTAAGTTTCATTTGGCATTCTTTATTTTAAGGACTTGTCTCCTTTTTGTAGTTAAATCAGTGTTTATAGGGCCATTTTAACTGTAGAAAGAAGATAAGTCCTTAAAATAAGGAATGCCAAATGTAGCCAGAAATCCACAAGGAGAAAAAAATAGAATCTCAAAGAAAATTGTGTTCAATTTCACTAATAACCCGAGCTTGTACAATGACATATATTTATAGACAAGCCCTATACTTTCTCAAAAATGTTACTAAAAATGGTAACTTTTTTAATTTGACCCAAGCTTCCAAAAATATCATAGTTAGCTCAAAGAGAACTTCCTAAACCAAATCAGGCTGAAAATATGCTAAAATAACAAGGATTCGCATTTTACTACAAAAGGAAAGTTTTTAGAAAAAAACCCACTTTTGGAAGCCAAAATGATGGAATTTGGACTTGAAAATGGCAAATGAATCTTTTTGGTTGATTTGATAGCACAAATATAGTATTCATCCAAATCAAAGGTTGTCATCATTTGAAGTGTATGTTTGGGTCTTCTTTTTTTTTTTTTTTTTCCTTTTTCGATCTAAGCAACTTGTTCTACATCACTAAATCTTGTTTTGATTATGTTCCTTTTCTCACTATTATTTTTGTATAGTGGCAAGGAATCTCCATGAACAACCATCCAGTAAAAAGAGTACTCAGCCTATAGAATGTATGTTCACCACATGATCTTTGTTTCAAAAGTAACAACATTTTCTTGCTCATTCAAAAAACAAAAAAAGAAACTTTAAAATAATTAACACCTTGTTATTTCTCCTCAAAAAAAAAAAAAAAAAGATAACTAGAATGAAGGCCAAGGTTTTGCCAAAGGTGCACCTATTCCATTGTCACTTCTACTTGCAACTTTTAGGTTGGTCAATACAAATTTTTGGGAAACACCATTGGAATTTATAGCAGGAGTGTGAACTTTTAGGTTGGTCAATCCAACATAGGTATTGGATTGGGTGTTGACATTTATAGTACAAACACTAAATTTAACGTTTCCCGAAAAAACACCAATGATACCGAATATTGTATTGATAACTCAAAGCATTTGTAGTAGAAAAAAAATATTCTCCTAAATTTTATATTAATCAACCTAAAATGTTGCAAGTAAAAATGACAATGATACCAAATACAACCTTACATTCTAAAGATAGAACTAAAACTAATCAACTTAATTTTCCTACTTCTCAATCAACACTGAAAACCCAATCCGAAAGACTCAACAATATCCAGAGTAAATGGTTTAAAGCCTCAAATTACGAATAACATATTAGAAAACTGGTACATATGACATTAAATTTACTGACGCTGAATGCTAACCAGAGTATAACAAGACTTTGCTCATTGATTGAACTACAAGATGCTTTCTGTGCATTGAAAAGAGAAAATYTGACATCTTAATGCCCACAAGGTGCCTCCCCTATATATCCGTGTCAATCAACTTAAAAGATAGTATCAATACCATATTCTTAATTATATTTTCTAATTAGAATGAATAGCCTAGTGAATACCAATGTTTCATGTAGAACATCAAATGAAGAGTTCCAAACCCGAATTCAGCAGTAACATGAAGTTCAATTCGCCAATTTGGAAATGCAAGGGAATGTACGAATACAAAGAAGTTAAAAAAGAAAAGATTTTAAGGGGGAATAAAAGGAATAACCAGTACTTAATTAGAAGATGAAAACAAGTAGTGGTTAAAAAACAAAATAATATTCAATTTCACTAGTAAAGTTACGAGGACATAATGTTTCCATTTGATTAAACAGACATGCCAAAGGCAGTTTCCATTATGATAGGGCATGCAAAGGCATTTATAAAGGATGCTTCATCCACATGTCATGCATGCAAATGCTTATATAATTGACCCAAGTGGTTACTAGCTTCTTATGTCTAGACTCTAGAGTATTCGAACATGATTTATATAATTATTGTACATTTGAGTTTAAATTACCCCCATTTGATTTTATCACAAGTGTTTGGATAGTTTCAAGTTCAATAATGTTATATATATATATATATATATATATATATATATATATATATATATATTACAATGCATAATGATGGTATGGTAAGTTTGGATCTTGTCAGAAAAACTTATCAGGTATATATAAACCAAGCTACTTTGAGTCAGGTTGTCACAAGGAAAGGAGGCTTAGTAACAACAAAGAGCATTATCTCTCTCTACAAATTCTAATATACCCACTAGCCTAGCCTAGCTAGCTAGCTAGAGATTGAACAAGATGTAGATAATTTTCTGCTGCTGCTTCAATTATTTATTAATTAATGCATAGGCTTTAATTATTTCCGTTTAAAAAGTTACTAATCTATCGGAAATATAATTAAGTTAAACAAGAGTTTTCAAACCTGCAGCTGGCAGGTATAATTAGCCACAGACATGATCAATCGCATTCGCCCCTCCCCATTTAAGGATCTAAGAATTCAAAACTAGCAGAGAGGTTAGGACACACCAAAGCAGAGAAAAAGGAAGATAATTAATTAAGACCAGGAACGAGACATGAAGCAAAATTTCCTCCAATATTTCACAATGACATGCATTGTGTAAGTCAGAAGCGCTTCTGCAACTAGGGGGAGAATTACCAGCACCAACATTATTATATATTATTATAATTACTATTACTATTAATGCTGCTCCTGTTGTCATTGCACTTGTTCCTGTATATTCTGAGGATATCAGTGTCTTGAGTAGTTATGAACAAAGTAAGTACTTTACTTCTTTAACTTTCTGTTGTCTGGAAATGGGGGAAGGAGAAAAATAATTGAAATTAAAGAAAAAAAAAACACTGCTTATTAGTTCACATGACATGATGATTTGATATGCAAGAATGTGAAACAAAAATGCCTTTGTAACTTTGAAGCAATACGTAAATTAAACTAAAGAGGTGCCTTGATCACTGCGCAATCCAAGGCTTTGATTTGAGTACTAATGCCCTAAAGACTCAAGAAAGATGTTGTTTTAATTTCCAAAATAAATATAATATAAGATTAAGAAAAGAATTGACTTCTTCAAGGATGAGTAATCTCAGTATACGAAGTTTTCCCATTTAAGGGAAGCTGCTTAGTAGAAAGAACCTTTTTTTTTTTCTTTTTTTTTTGTTTGCTCTCTTGTATATTAAGTCCTGATTGGGAAGGTGGTTGGTAAGGGGAGACAAGAAGAATCAATCAAGAAAACAAAGCTTAAACAAGCCACCGAGAACAAGGGATAAAAAAAAAAAAAGAAGTTAAAGAGGAAGAGTATAGATCCTACCTTTTAAAGTTCAGTCTGCAACAATCTGTGCACCACCTGCGAGCGTGCCCAACGAAGCAGCAGCAATAACAACCTAGCAAGGTAATAAAAGCAAAAGAGGAAGAAAAAGGCAAGGAAATTAAACGTTCAATTTCATCGGCTATTTCAGTGCCCAAAATAGTTGTTTCTGCCAACTTGGAGAAAGAGATTAACCAAAGGAGGACAAGGTTTCCTCTCTGGAGAGGTTGTGGCATGGAACCACTTAGGGAGTCCCAGGCTCTACAAAAGGAAAATGATTGGTGTTATATCTATAATAATATATGAATTATACACATTTAAAAAGACAAGTGTTGGATATGGTGGCTTGAATTCTCTTTAATTTTGGCTAGTCTCTTTCGCTGACCATAGACCTTCTACCACCCAATGGTACTGCAGTAATTAAGAAAAATATAAATAAATCAACCATAGAAAGGGCTGGTCGATCGGTCTTCCATGTCACCCAACCTGCTTTCCTCATCTTCTTCAATTCCCTTCTTCTTATTCAGTATCCATTAATATCCATGCTGCTAGCTAGCTCAGCTAGTTGAGTGACGAACCAATAGCTAGGGTTCAATCATCTTGGGGAGGTGACTGTAACTTGTGAGCAACAAGATATACCATAAGATTTGTAGAAATTAATCCAATTCTACTCGATTGTTAACATTCTTGCACAGTCCGCTCCACCCCCACCCCTACCCCCCTTTCTCATATGTCCAATTTGAAGGACAAAGACTGTTTCCCATTATTTGGAAATTCAGCTGGCATTGTGGCGCCATTATAGAGTCTCAATTGAGGAGGAGGAGGAGAAGTTAGATACTGATGATGAGGAGGAGAGAGAGACTCAACTGTAGGCGAGGATAATGCGTGGCTTCCGGGGTCTTCTGATATAGGGCAATCCAGGTTCACACCAAACAACCTAACACGCTTGGCTGCGGCCTTACCGTGCACCACCGGGACGGAGTCGAATACCATCGGTTCATCCCCACGCTGTACATGTTGCACTACACCTTGTTGTGGGGCTGATGAGGATCTTAGATAAAGAACCGAGCCGGAACCCGACCTCACCACATTATTGTAACCCCATGTGCTACTGCTCTGGTGATCAGGATGTTGATATTGCTGCTTCTGCTGATAATAGTCATAATTCTTCAACTGTTGGAAATGCAGATGGTCCCGTGATGGCATGGAAACGGCGAGGGACACCGCAGACGGCGCCTGCAAGAATAACCGGCCCCATGGGACGACAGACGACCGAGCAAGGGAAAGCGGGTTTCCAAATGGTAGAGGCGGCAGCATACCAGGATCTGGAACATCTGGGCGACGTCTCCAGTCGATGTACAGACGATCCCTACCGGACTCCCCCACCCCACGCTCAAATGACACGATATCGCCCGCGTCTAGCTTCTTCTCCTTTACGAACCGGCTCCACCCTTTAGTCATCACGTAGCTCTGGCTGCTATTCCAGTAAGAATATCGAAATCGCCAGGGTTTCCCACTCCGATCTTCAAAATTCAACAGTAGGCCCTTCTCATTTGTTGCAGAGTCAAGAGGGAAGTACTTCTCTGCGTGTTGCTTTGGTATGACTAGTCGGTTCAGCTTGCCCACATCGCTCGGCGTGACAACCTTATCAAACATGTGTTCTCTTTCAACGCAACCACCACTAGTGTTACCACCACCATCGGCTTCCCCCCGACTTGCATCGCCGCCGTTTATGGTAGACAAGTCGATGAGCCCGAGCTTTTGGTTGAAATTGGTTACTGCATCTTGCCCATGGAACTCAAGCGGAGCTGGTCGGTCGTAGGACCTTACGGCCTCTTCCTCCTGTTGATGCTTCTCGTACATCTGCCCTCCCCATCTCCTGTTAGGCCGAGGGACCACACCTTTGTACTGAGAGGAAGGCGAAGAAGATGAAGATGCAGACGAGAAAGGGAACTTACCACCCCTATCTACAACCATCTCTTCTTCTTCCTCATAATACCCTCCACCTTGCATAAAATCCATCACCAGCTAGTGTCGAATACTTTTGATCGATCTGAATTCTGAAAGAAAAATACAAGAAAGAACGTTTTTTTTCTTTTTATTTTCTCTTAGTTAGATTAAAAGTAGGGGAATTAAAAAGGAAAAAGAGAAGAAAAAGCATTGGATGGTACATCACTTCACCTGCGCAATATTTACCTTGATGGCTTCAGATTTCTTCCAAATCCCTGAGACTCCTCCCCCCGAAAAAAAAAAGAACACAAAAGAGAGGCTCTCACTACAATGACGGTCGGTGCCCTCTTCTTTGACCAAGACGACCCATACCTGAAACAAGACAAGCCATGGACGATTCCACGAGTGCTCCTTGTTCTTCTTTCTTGTTGACCCTTGAGATGAGAGAGAAAGAGAGAGGAGGGAAGCGATGGTCTATATATTTTGCTTTTCCTAACTGGTTAATCCCTCGAAGTTTCAAGCAATTTTCCCTTCCTTGGTTCTTTAGAAGAAAGAGACTTAGAGAGGGGGAGAGAGACTTTATACGTAGGGGCCCATGAATTATCTGGTTGGGTTCATGTGAGCTTGTCCCTTTCATCATTTTCGGGCATCTATATTTCTTTCGAGATAAGACCCCCAAGAAAAGCCAATTGTTCCAGAGAGCATGGATTTGCCCCAAGTAAATGAATTATTGTCATTTAATAATTTTACCAAAAAGAAAGAAAATATATGGGTGGAAGTTAATTAGCTAGGGTAAGAATTTTCAATTTCAATTACTCTCTGGTCTAGTAGTATTGATTTTGTTCATCAACATAAAGCGATGGAGGTTGGGACTGGAGGGTAAAGGAATAGAAGCACATCATATCCACTTGGCGCTTCCCCAATCCCCTTCCTCTTAAGGGAAAGTATCGAAAGATTCTTGATTGATGACAGAGAAGAAATGAAGAATAACTAACCTTTACTCCAGTGTAATTGAAAAAACCTTGCTACCAAAGAAAACGTGCCACCTTAAATATTAATTTACTAGTTTTAATTAAATATTCAAATCATGGGTGTGGATATAATATATATATATATATATAGATTCATTACTTTGGTACTCGTTCTTAGCTTAATTAGTTTTTTTTTTTTCATTTTGTATAGTTTCGACTGTTTTGTTGTTTGTTATAGAAGGCAGAGTCTGTTTAAAATTGTTCATCGAAATTGGGGTTTTCTTCTCTTTAAAAAAACAAAGAAAAACATCTAAATATATATAATATTGAGATAAAGTACATGTAACTGTATAATTAGTAAATATATTATACATACATATAAATAATATAGATACATACATATGGGTTCATGTGCCCATTGATTCATGTATGTGGTCCAGTTGATCATCCACCCCAGCCTTTAAAGCTCATGAATTGGACGCCCTTCAAACACCACTAATCAGCATGTATTAATGATTCTACCCGTCCAATCATGTTTGATTGACCTGAAATAATCTAATAAATAAATAGATAGAAATAACAATAATATAAAAATAACTGTCACATCAATAAAAAATTATACAATTTTACTGATAGTAACTGGTGTTTGTTTTCAAAAATAAAAATAACCATATTATCAAATATTCTTTTATATTGATCGATTGATAATGATAATGATTAATTATCCAGTCCAATTTAAATTAATTATTTTCTAATATTTTTGAATCGGAGCAGAAACGAAAGTGGAAAGAGTGATCTGGCTGAACTAATAATTTTTTAATATAGAATATATATGGCAATTGGTTTGTCTTGGTCGTACAATTCAAGTCCAACTATTCGAGTTTAGAGATTCCAACACAAAACCAGCCAGAGAGATTATCTTGTTCGTAGGGACAAAGAAAAACAAATATATTAATCCAAGATTAGGAGAATTTGCACCGGTATTAATTTAGCCGACAGTTTTACATGTCGTTTGTTTTATAATTCCCTTTATATTATTATACATGTTTGTGTGTGGGGTCGATGTGGCGAGAGTAGTAGTAAATGAAGTTTGAGATCTGATGAATCGTCACCCACCCTAAGTAGCATGACGTCTTGTTTATTGAACTAACTAAATTATATTAATAAAGATATATGGATGCTAATTACTTTTGATTAGTAAAAGAAGCTCGTTAATTTAATTGTGAGATATAAGTTATTGCATGGTTGTGGAGCCTTGAAGTTGGCCAAGTGTCCCGAAATTATATTAATAAAGATATATGGATGCTAATTACTTTTGATTAGTAAAAGAAGCTCGTTAATTTAATTGTGAGATATAAGTTATTGCATGGTTGTGGAGCCTTGAAGTTGGCCAAGTGTCCCGAATTTCTAACACAAGTTGCAACCCGCATCCCAACACCCACCACACCCCACTTGCTGTTTCAAAGTTGAACCATCCAATGTCATGTAGTCGGAGGAAATTAATTTAAATAAAATTGGAATTGGAATTGCTGTTCAGAAATACGTGACACCTGTGTTGGTTGTGAGCTAGCTTCTCTTACATATATTGTTTGATTTGATTTGATTTGATTTTTCTATTCAAAGTTCAATCAATCAATATATATATGAATTATTTTCGTATAATTGCTGTTATATTATTACATATATCAATCCGAGGGAGGAGGGAGGAGGGAGGAGGGGCGAGGACTATATTGATGATCACCAGTGGGCCCTTTCTTACTTTCTTAAGCTTAGGTGATGCCAACTGCCAAAAAGGCGGCTAGACTGGATGTGCATGGACATGGATGATCTCAACACAGTTACGCCAGACAAAAGATGCATGGAAATTGGAAAAGAAAGAAGCTTGGAATTGTATGGATGTGATCACTCCATCAGGCTGCTTTCTCATGGCAGGGATTCGGAAATTGGGTGGGACCCATTAAATAGATGGTGGCCGTATAATTTCCTCACACATGCACATCATCTGCCTTGTCTTCAATTCAACAATTAGAGAAAGAAAGAGAGAGAGAGAGAGAGTATTTAAAATCTCTAACCTGATATGAAAACTGACATCCTGTTTGTCACCATGTAATGGACTGGACTACACGTGGTAACTTGAACCTCAAAAACGAAAAACCTGCACCCCTTGGCCCTTGCTAAAATCTGATCAGTTTCATTTTACTACATAATTAATATTGCAACTGGTAGTAGCCTAGTAGGAGGAATATCAATTTCTTCTAGAGCAAATTAAAGAGGAAAAAAAAAAGAACGGATATAAGATATAAGCAATATAATTCCACATTCAAGGACTAATACCATGTCTGTCTGTCTCTGTTTCTCTCTAAGAGTTGAAAACTAAAAGCAAAAATATAATAATAATAATAATAATAATAATAATAATAAATAAATAAAAGAAAAGAAAAGAAAAGGCAGATAAAATAGTGAAAAGAGGGGCAAATGATAAATGCAATTAGCAGCCTTTTGGTGATGAATTGCAAACAACAGGCCACTTTCTAGCAGGAAACTATAATAAAAGGGAGTGTTTTAATAATATGTTACAATCTCCAACAACATATCCCACCTCTTATGCCTTTTTCTCTTCCCTCTCTTGCATGTTTCTTACTGTTATACTGTATATTTTTTATGTATTGTACTTTATCTTTATTTGTAGATGGACTCATAGTGATGGATATAGACATGTAATTTTCATCGATCAGTTTTGGTAGAACTATTTGTCATTGTAATATCCTCTGGCTACAAAATAAAACCCATCTGAGGCCGGGTAACCCAGTTGATGAGTTGGATGAACTGTCCCAACGATTTCGAATTCTTTCATACTATTTATCGTTTCTGTAAGTAAATAACTGATTAATACAAAAAAAAAAAAAAATGCTACAAAATAAAAACTGAGATTTGGTAGTGGGGGGAATGCGACTAATTAAGGACGAGGAAACAGAAAAGAAAAAATCCCTCGCCCTACCCCCTATGACCATAAGAGGTCAGGAAAAAGAAAAGAATTAATTACCTTACCACACTTACTGGCCGCATCCGCATGTATTATTAATTATTATAGCTAATAAAAGTAGTGGAAGGGTAGACGGTCCAGAATCCTAACGCCAAGAGGTGTGTTACCACAATTTAATCAATCCGCCCACTAGTTCCAAATGCCTGTTGAGGAAAAAGGGTTGTACATATCCCTAACCATCACCGATTGCGTATTTCATTTCCCTCTTGAAATTTCAAAAGGGGGTTTCTTTTTCAATGAAACCATGATGTTTGCTTTCAATCAATGATAAAATCTAAGGGCTGTGGCCAGTTCAAATATGTGTGTATGTGAGAGAGAGGGAAAGATAGAGAGGGGACCATTCTAGAACTGGGTTGAATGTATATGCCAGTTGTGTACTGACTGAGTGAATTGGACTTGACGATTGATCAAAGCAAGAAAACCATGTACCAGCAGGGTCGAGTTGCATATTTATATATATATATATGATCGTGATCATCACATTGGCACACCTACTCTAGCTCTTGCCCTCTAACCTCCTCCATCTGTAAACAATTTATATCTGGTTTATACGTATATTTTGATAATTACAAGTACCACATAAGCGAGGAAGATGGACGAATCTCGAGGTATATTGCCCAGAATATATCACAAGTTTACATCAAAGCCTAACAAAGAGGCGGTGGAGGGTGGTGTTTATACCCTTTAAAGATGAAAGGAATATCTGCTTATGCCTATGGGGGACCTCTCTCTCATTATTCATATTCCGATGAGAGACTTTCTACCCTCCCAGTAATAACTAAAACTAATAAATAATAAAATCAATTTTAGCATATATTCATATATATATATATAGACGTAGGACCACACCCTAGAAAACCAATTCCACGATACCATCCAGTTGGCGGCTATCTTGTTCCATAATTCATTGTCTTCTCTCTCTCTCATCCTGACAGTAACTCCTTTCTCCCACTATGTCATATATACTAATAACATACCTGACACTACCACCATCATCTCCTCTTCCCCTCCATCTTTTCTTTTTTTTTTTTATTTTTTATTTTACACACTTGCATTTGATATGATTAGAAATATATAAATAAAAAAGATGAGCAATACGATTTGCTGCACACGGTTACACTCTGGATGCAATATGGATCATGATGAAGACAATTGAATTATCTTGATAGTATCGAAACAATTGGTATATATAAATTATATTATTATTATTATTATAAAAGCAAAAAATAAATAAGTTACGGTAGAGCATGGTGGGAGGCAGAGAAAGGGGGAAGACCCACTAGGACAATAACATATGTGTATATGTCCAATCCAAGAAATATCACACGTCAAAGTCGACCAAATCATGTGATTATAATCATCAACAATTTAATACACATCTTTTTATCCATTGTCTGTCTTAAATTACTATACTAGATTAGAGGTGGGGCGGGAGACCGGAGGTTTATAGACCCAGTTGTAAAATTTATATATTTTGTCCATGTCGTTGTTGGGTATGCGTGTCATGTGTCAGACTAGTAATTATAATATATAGATGACATCATCATTCTCCTATCCAATGGCTCCCTTGTTATATATTTACTTCAC